CATTTAATTATGAGCTTAACAATCAGATCATCCCTGTCAATTTCAGTAGTCTCACACTGGTCAAAATTGGCTGGGGATAGGTCCTGTTTGTTGTCTCTCACAGATTGGAGTTTTCTGGAACCAATCACGAGAAAATGTCCTGGTTTACCCTGGGTGACAACCTTTGGTTTGACCTTGTGCAATGTTTTAAAACAGTTGTTCTAATAGGGTCAGGTGCAGGAAAATGGAAAATAGGCAAATAACAGCATTTCAGATACAGTTTTACAGATGTCACTGATTAAGGTTTATGTATATATTTAACTAAACTTATGATTTTCTTTAGAAAATGTACAGTATGTCAAACTTTCAACAAAAACTATCTAAGTTTGTCACCTACTCCTTATCTAAGAACGAAAGGTAACTTGTTGCATGCATACCATGTCCACATCAATAGATGGCAAAGAGGTGTCTACTCTGTTCTTTGAACTCCTAGACCAAATTCCTCGACCAGAAGAATGCACTTGTAAAGATTTCTCATTCCCCACAAGACTACCAGTCTGGCCAAAGCCTGCAGTTGCACACTTTGATTTACATCCCAGCACTTAGACTACTTCAAACTCTTCCCTCACACAGCTGTCTGTAGCCAGCAGTCACAAATTGGAGGAAATACCTCTTCGGGAAGTGGACCTTATACAGACTAATTTACTGCGCACATTGTACAAAGGACTGTCGTGAACTGTTTCTTAGTAGGATGGGGTACTGACACTACATCGTTTAACGTGTCTACAACTGCTCAATAAGGGCTAAACATGATCTTTTTAACGATCACAATGCAGTAAGTTATTACCTAAACATTTTTAATTTCTCCTAGAATTTTGCCATCAACCCTCAAGCACCACACATTCTACATGAACTCTTACAGGGGACTTGCCATTCACTTAAACTTAAACTTCAACTTTGGCATGCTCCTAACAATTGACACTTTCAGATTTGTACTCCACAAGAGATAATTCGTCACTCTCGTCTGGTGATTTCTGAACCAGTCACTGGGAAACTTTCGTCCCATCGATGTACTTGTCCATGTCAATAGAAGACTGCCAAAAGATCGTTGGCAGAGACTCAGAGAGATGAACCACTGTTGTCAACTCTTGGCACCATCCTTCAGTACTAGTGATGAAACAGTTTCCTGTTTTGTATAAAGACCGATAAGGACAGATTGTGACAGAGAATCAGACAGATTACCCCACTGCTTGGGTTAAGAGATCATAGCTTCTACTGCAGCAGGGGAGCCGCCAGTCACTTTCTTAGAGGTTTCTGAGTAACAGGGCCCCTAATAGAAGCTCAATGGAAGATTTGAAAGAAAGCGCCAAACATTCAAAAACGTTCACAGTTTCCTAAACCTGAATCACACAGATTATTACATGTAGTTAACTGCCACCTGTTAATGCACACCGCAAGTTTCTAGGTGCAAGCTGCATTTAATAGGCCTGGGTCATATAACGTTATACCTACTTTCATGTTAAAAAGATATAGATTCTTTTAATGCAGCAACTTTTCACAGGACCAAAAACAATCTCTCAATCAGATGACAACAACCAGTAGCCTGAATTTCATGACTCTGATCTCTGCTGACCCCTAGGTCAGAATGTGAACCATCCTCCTACCCCCCACCTTGTGATCCAGAAAAGGACTTGCTAACCACATCACTGCAGTTATGTCTGTCTGACATTTAGGCATCTACAAGTGTACCACAGGCAACTTGGTGAAAGCCATTATCCTCGATTTCCTCTGCCTGGGCATCAAAAGAAACTGCTGGCAAAATGTGCGTCACACTTTTTCTTTGTAAGCAAAGACTGTCTGTCGCAGTTATTTTCATAAGACTGGAGCCTTGGCACTTATCCCAGATGAAGCAATGTTGGTTATTCCAGTGCAACATGGACAGGATGACCTACTTACTGCTAAGTGTTGACAACATTGTAATCCTAGGAGGTTTCCAGAGACCAAAAGTAACCATCAGGAACCACCACAAAGAAGACAAGACATCCTCTCTGTCAGGGACAACAAATAAGGTGACAATGAAGAGTGTAGATCTGGCAGGAAGACAACATAGGGGAACCTTTCACTTCTGGTGACTCAACTTGGCACTATTCTCTGACAGGTTAAGTGATAGTGTCTTTTAGGCATTAACATTTTCTAAAAAATGCTTATACAAGACAATCATGACTTCTGCATTGTTACACATGTTGTAATTATGTGGTACAGTTATTCAGTGAATAACTCAATAAGCCCTTAAACATCCATCCTCACTTGCTCTGTACTACTCCATCAACTCAGTTGTCAATGATTCAACACCAGTGTCTTGGTGCATCCCTATCCATCATCACACTCTCTAGTGCACATTTGCTCAATGGTGAATGATTCTTGGATTTTTGCTATACAGTTGCACACCATCACCAAAGCATCAGACATGTCAGAGGAAAAAAATAATATCTCCTGTCACATCAACAGTTTGGTGGATAATCCAGAACACAAATATATTATTGTAAAAAAAAACTGGAAATGCAGATACAAACTCAGCTGACTCTTGAATCTGTTTTATGTTCTTTCTGGCTCACACAGTGCATTTGCCAAATGTGTAACAACAGCCGTCAATCCCATCTTGTACCACACAGCATCCCTGACCCACTGTTCTGCACTACATGGCTAATAAAGACAGACCTACGTTTTAAATAGGAGTGAGGGGCTGACCTTGCATACTTCCACAGTCAATGTACAAAGGACTAGCCAAGATTTCGCATGGTCACGGAGACTTGTACCTGCCCCAGGTTTAAGGAAGTTGATTCAAATCAGCTGTGAAAAATGCTAGGTGTGAAGTGACACAGGTTATACTCCCAGGAGGGCAAAAAACTGCTTCAATTTTATCTCAAACCATGTGTGAAGGGGCAGACAGTCATTGATACCTTGCCCTCATTCTGTGCTTCTATGACATGTGTATGATGGACAATCTGAAATCCAAGTGCAGCAAAATCATTACTGCTTTTAATTTTGATAATAATAATGAGACTTAGGAGCTCTCAACAGAGAAAAAAAACAGGGGCTTTAACATACAAATATTTAATCTAGACATGTAAATGTATGTCTTCCAGCCCTTGCTATAACTATAGAGAGATACTGGAAATGTTCAGGAGCTGCATAAGTGAATGGCATATCTTAAAGTCTGTGGCACATCTAAAATGATCCAGTAGTGGTGTACTTGACAGCAGTAAATTTCTTACAAATGTGGCCTAATTTCCGACCTGTCTCTTTTTCACTAGAACAACACCAGAGAGTTACTCGCCTCTGATCTTTAATGAGAAGGTGTAAGGAAATGTAGGTCACCATCAACAGGTGCCACTCATGATCAGGATGATGTTACCAACAAGAAAATAACTGGTGTGCAAAGCTTAAAGTTTTAAAGAGTTGTTTGTATAAAGAAACCACCGCTATTTAAGAAAATCAACCAGACAAAACCAGTAAAAACTAATTCTGTTTTCAAATTTCAGCATATAGCACATAGAATGCAACCAGATAGGCAGTTCTGTCAGGCATAAATTGCTTCCTAAGCCTGTCCTTGAAATGTTTGAAATGCCAACAGTTATTAATTTATTGAAGTTAGAAATGCCAGTCTGGCTTTCCTTGACAATTGTCACATTGAACAGAGAAATGCATGCTGTTTCACTGGACAAGGTCAAAATACATGCACTAGACACTGAATAGGTAATGGATTTAGTTTGTAAAAGGAATAAAGGAAGCCATCTACATCAGGACCACCAACCGTCATTTAACTTTTCCCCTTGTTATAGTATTTCAAACAAGTCATGCGTGACCTTGAAAATGTTGGTTGCAAAAATCATTGGCTGTTGCAAAAGAATAGTTGGAAAAAGGCAGCTTTTGTTAAATCGTGCATGAACAGAACAGTCTTACTGATGAACTGTGTCAGTTAACAAGATTATCTTAAGCATCTAATGAGCTTGCATTATCAACATTCCTCCTCACTTATCTTCTTAAAACTCAATTATTTCTGCTTATGTTTGACTCTGGCGTGGAGTCAGGTTTTTGGGGACCTGAAACTCATAATTACCGGAGACAGACTTCAGGAGAATCCCTTAAGAGCGTGATCCAATTAGTTTGGTACCCAGATGATTGGAGATGATATGCCTGATTTTCTGCAATCATTAGACATAAAAGGCCTGTTTTAGAACTTCAATAGGTGCATTTAGAAGAACTTGAAAAAGCTTTTAGAGACTTAAATGCTAGGATTGTGCCCAGGAGCAGTGGGACAAACAACTTTGACGTGGTATGGACTGCGTTGCCACATATGGGAGTGGATATTAAATGCTATTGTTGGAAACCTGCCAGGAAGCTAGCTATTTGAGTGGTCAACAGGAAAATGTGTACAAGCACATGCAGATGCCAAGAGCAACGAATATCTGCATTACACTAGTATTAAGAAAGGTGGCTAATAAAAGGGTTTACACATGGACAATATCAAGTTTTTCTTTTGTCACAAAATCTATAGATGAGATATAAAATTACTCAAGCAGAATACTGTAGTCATTTTAAAATCAATGAAAATGTTCCTGTACAGTACAGTAGTGTATTGTTTAAACTTTTGGAAGGCTGTATTATGAACTTTCTAGAAGTCAGGCTACTTTGTACTTTGTCACGGAAGTTCATATGAGGTCAGACACAAGGTTATATTCTATTTACAAAAGGGATATACTTTCCAATATCGCGTTGAGCCCACGAAATCTCTAAATACCAACCAATGCTCGGGTATCAACTTCACCAAATGCGCTAACAAAAACACATGGCGAAAGAGAAGAAAAGCAACAGGTGTCAGATCTGACACCTTCTCACTTCCCAACACTGGACACACAACTTAAAGCTTCATCGACCCCTCTAGATTCTTGTAGGGCTAACAGCTGTGTTTACATTTTATACAAACGTCTATCTGTAGGAAAGGGAAAGTGTGTACTCACCTGAATACTGTATGGGCTCGCTCTCTCCGCAGGCGTGAGCCAGGAATATCCTGTGCGCCCAGTAGACGGTCAGCGCCAGTAGCCGGCCCCACGGCGCCATAGCGCGGCGGGCGGACACACGGCTCTCCCTGACCGGGCACCTCTCTACACTCCTGCCGCACGCGTCGAGTCTAGGTCCTCGCAGATCCTATCAGAAAACCTGCAGGAAGGCAGAGTGCGATTGTAGGTCAGGCTTCAGTCCAGACCTCGCCATCTGTTAGTTCACAAACTGACAAGAATAATACACACGAGGTAAACATGCGGAACTGTCCCCCATCAAGTGCAGTAAATCTGCAGGCCCGAGCGGCGCCCATGTGCACATTTATTTCGTCCTATCTCGCTTGATTATTCCTAAGAAAATACTCACAAGGCGCAAAAACATGCTGCTCTCTTGATAAATAACAGGGCACAGCAGCCAATCGACTTGGACATAAGTAACTAGGACAACATGTTTCCTACAATATTCCCCGACTTGGCGACCACGTCTCTCCATCCTGACTTGTTGCCAAAAGTTTGCCTGTTCGGGACGGTCCATGTTTGGGATGGGGGTGTCGTTCCGAACCTTTTCTTCCTACTTTGGTACTCTCCAAGCAGAGGTTTGGGGTTTGGCTTATTTTGGGCGCATTTTGGTATCTTTTTACGCTTTGGGTTGGCGTAAAAAAGATATCAGTGCAAAAAAAGAAAGACCTATAAAAAAGCCTGAAAACACACCAAAACCCAAACCTCTGCTCGGATATTATTTTGTTTTCTTTGGTTATTTTTCTACTTCACCACTAAGGAAGTGAAGAATTATATTGGCGTATCTGTCTGTGTCTGTAGTTTGTGTGATTAAATATGCGAAGGGGAAGTCAGCCAACTTTGCAATAATTTCCTTTTCTATCTTACATTGTTTTGCCTTCAAGGTCTTCAACGGAGATAGAATATAGGCCCGCTTTGTTTGAAAAGGCACGTATTGAATTTCTAGGACTGCCGATAAAACATTACATGAAAGTTTTACTTTACTAGAATTAATTGGTCTCCGCGATCAAAGATTGTGTGCTTTCATAATTATCCATAAACCCTGTGACCCAACCGTGCTATTGTCGGAATGTACCATTGATTGCGGGAGAGATATATCGTTACAGAAAGATTCCCTAGCCACGATTGTTGAACCAGCAACTCCGTAAAAACGAGATCAAGCGCCCTCCTTTTGCCCCCTAGCGATTTGGAGAACGCTTATCAATGAGATATCTTCATCGAGATGGGGAGATTACAAGCTCGGTTGGGAAGCAGCCAAAGGAACGGTGCAGAGACGTTTACAAGTTGGATGTTCCACGAAGGAATGACAAGGCCCTTGGCATATCAAGACCCAACAAGATCTGGCACACTTCAAAGACTTGTTATCTCACCCAAGATAACCTTACTTCCAATGCCAAGGTTTCTTTACATCATCAGTACATATCTCAAGGATCCAGTCGGTCAACAGCGATTTTTGTTGAAACAGCCCAGCCCAAGGACGGAGTCCCTATACACAGACGTCGGCAGAGCTAGAACAGACCAAAAGGACAGTTGACTATCTTGAGAGGGGTTACTAGCTTTCTATAGCTTCCTATTAAAAGCAAAGTATTACAAAAGAGTTGGTCAGCTTGAAATTGAATCAACTGGTCTCATTGACATGAAGCTGTAGGATATTGGTGCTTCAACCATCAAGCAAAATGCATGACGCAAACTGAAGGGCGACTCAGACATCAGACATGTCGTTGCCCTAGTCTGAGGTGCTAACATCAAATTGACCGTAATCCAAAGCAGAAATTATAATTAGGTGGTACATTTGACCTTGTAGCCCGCCCATACTTAATGACAGGGTTATAATCACTCCAGCAGCGATAATGCCTTTCCTTCCAGGGAAGTTTACATCTGTTGTGACTCAAGATTCCGCCCGTCTTTGGGCGCGACATATCCATTATGTTCCACGGCAAGGTCCCTTACAGGGTGGTGGACTACAAAACTGACTAGGGTGTCCTCATAAAATCAGCAATCACGAATCTACACTACAGAGTATGGGCCACCGAGGGCCAGGTTCTAACAAGACAACGGAGTCTGACATTCACCAAACGCCGTCTCTCTGGTGAACGGCTGGACATTCCTACGATTCCAGCCAGTCTGTTTTAGAGCAGACTACAAGTCATTACGGTCTTGTTGTGCTGAGATTCTAGCCTTGCGTGACCCAGAAGTGACAGCATACATTACTCTCTGAACACGAGAGAGCCTGTCCATGTTTACTACAGTTGGACCGCTTTCTATCGTGTAAAATGATAAACAATTCCTTTCAACGTTTCATTACAACGTTGCTTATATAAACTACCAAAAGATCTGGCCAACATTATCTATCTAATTAGAAACGCCTACCTATAATATCGATGATGCATTTCATTTCAATGTAATGCAGTATCCACACACTGATACAGGAATTGTATTGGGACATAACTTTATACGCCCTTTCCTTAATTATTTCGAATCCATAGCCCAGCTTCTTCCCATAGGTTTCATGCAATGCTTAATCATTGCCAAGAGCAGATGCCTTGCATTCATGCATTACTAGTATTCCACGGCGCCTGCGACGCCTGAAATATTGACTTTACCCGGTAACCACAACTTTCTCCTGAACTTAGATTGCTTATCACGGATACAAAGCTCCGTAAAATCACTCCGTGGTGCACTAAGAGGTTTTCCTTGCAATCCAAGACGGTGAAAGCATCACGACCTGAGCTCCCCCTGGTTGGATCGGCGGGACTTTACTTTGCCACATTGTGCTCGATCATGACCCTGAACGCGGAAGGTGCCAGTCAAAGGGAAACGCGGTTATGGTTGCGGTAATACCGACCTCGTCAGTCAAAGAGTCAAGTACTTTTGGAACAAAAATGAGTCAGGTTTGCCAGGCTTTGTATATTGTGTTGCTCTAATGCTTCACAAGCGGAAACAGGTTCTTGATTTTGAAACAACAGGACCTCTCAGTTCCACACGCCTCCGATTTTTCGTGTCAAGGTCTCAGTGAAAAAAATTATCATTCACTGTTCTCTAAAACCTTGGATGGTAAATGGCCATGAACTTTATCTGGACTCGTTTGATCAAGAAACGAAGCAGCTGGTCTTGTTTTACCGACGTAGCAATAATTACAACCATCGAAGGTACGCTGGAGACGATTTCATCGCTCATTATAAAGCACAGTCATCAGAGGTTGACATCGACAACTTCGTGCATGCTGGAATAAGCTTGGATACAACAACGGGACTTCTTGGCGGCTGGTAATGTAGCCACTGGCAGCAGGGTCAGGATGATTTAGGAACGTGTACACAACATTTACTGCTGTTCTAGATAAAACTAATGACGCGTACCGCCTGGAGAGGGCTTGAGTCGAGGGGCTTGAGTGTCTTTATCCTCGCTAAGGGGACTCGGGACATCTACTTACATGTACTATTTTTAGTTAGAGAAGTGTAAGGTAGGATTGTAGTTTGAATGAATAGAAAATCATCTGTCGTAACTGTCGTCTCTCTGGCATTATATGCCAAACCGATTCAGCAACTTGGTCATTAAAAAGCTTAAAGATACGGTACATAACTATTCGAGCACACTTCACTTTGTGGAGTGTAGTTCGCTATTGACAGTTACATAACTTTGAATGGCATAATGAATGTGTGATTGTACAGTCTATTTTAATGCGATGGCATGAAGCATAATTACTAGGAAACCTATAGAAAACAGTTGGCATTGAAAAGAAGCATGATATCCTATTGGTGTTGCTGTGAGGAGCAAGTGGTTTTGGGAACTTTACAATCGGGAATAAGTCATGGAAACCTTCCGAGCGAACTCAACGGAGTAAGTCAGTAAAATACGAGAAAGGGGACAAAGGAACATACTGTCTAACTATCCAAACAGACATCGGAAATAAAAGTTTACTGCATCTAAGGTTCAGATCTGTTATTATAGTAGCCGTATCAGGCTAGATCGCGTTACTTCCAGCCAATAAAACTAGCAATGCATGTAACGTTAGTGAGGACATACCCCATCACACAGCAGTGGTTACAACTCTTTTCTACTTCCGTATTTCCCAGCGGCGGCAGGCCAATGTTAGATCGGCTTTCTGAGGAAATGCGAACAAGCTGGAGCTGGAGCCTCGGGTACAACAGGAATTACCGATGTCTTGGCGACGGAACCAGTTTTGGTCTGCTCCGCAAAAAACTGTCTGCTTCCCTTCGAACTTCAGCCCTGTACGCTTCGCCGGATGATCCGTACTTTATACACTTACCTCCTTAGGACAGCCAAGACGTAGCTTATTTACTTAAAGACATCTTTCCAAAGCCGGAAAATCTTAAGATGCCAGATATTCTCCTTGCCTTCACATTGCGGACCAAATTCACGGGGGCCAAATTTCCAAAACATGCCCTTTCCTTATCAACTGAGACATTCCGAAACTTTACTTCAGACCTATCGGCGAGAAAAGGCCTCCGGTACTATTCGCAAGGGAAGCTCCGAAAAACGTTACTACATGTAAGAATGCCAAACACTAACGTTCTTTTAGTAAAGCGTATACAGACTATACGTCTTACCGTGAATTTGGCGCAGGACTGTGGTCGATATGGAGCACATACATGTGGTTCCACGTTCAACAAGAATCCCCACTCTAAAACATCACTCCTCACCTCAACACACCTCGGTACGATAACGCTCCTCCGCACACACTCCCCGTCTGCTTAGAATTTAGCTCTTCGAAATTAGGGTCCCGTTCGCCAGGTTTTATCCTAGAGCCGCTCTTTTCGTCGTTTCCAACAGGTCTTACTCGGGAAAAGGTTTGCGTCCAGCGTGAAACACAGTCAGCGTGCGTCCAATGTTGACAGGGGGAGGGGGAACGCGCAGTTACGGGTGGCGTAATGTGTAGTGACATCTGACCTCCTCCTGCCGCATATAAATAATGCGGGGAAGGCTCTGATAGCGTAAAGTAGGGGGTAGGTAAGGCGGGATTACGGCTGCGGGGACCCGATTTCCTTTTATAGAGCAATAACTCTGGCGGAATCCGGCTTGGAGCTGAGATAAAGTACAGAGGTAATCTCTGTCTTGGGAATGGTTGTCTGGTCAGAAGACGTCGCTAACGTTGCCATCAGGTGATAATAAAGAGTTACCTTTGCTGAATTAGGTCGAGACTGTTACCCGACACTCTTAAAAGATTGAAGTCTGTGTCATCAAGATTGGCACTATTCACTAAGGTATCTTCACCAATCAAAATACTAGCTAATTACGATAAAAATAACTAGAAATTAAGCTTTGATGGCCCCTAGCATGAGGTTTCTGATCTAGTAATGCTACATGGAGAATGTAGCTGAGAGCTGAGAAATTGGCCTGGGCAGGCCCTGGAAACAGTCTGGCACCCAGGCTATTGTTGTAATAAACCTTCTGATTCAACTTATAAGAAAGATTCACACAAAGAAGCGACGTAAACATTCACTGATCAGAATGTCACTACATAGTGACA